TCAGCACCTTGTTGAATCAATGCCACGTAGAATTAAGGCAGTTCTGAAGGCGAAAGGGGGTCAAATACCGTATTAGTATGGTGTTCCTAATAATCCTTTAGGTGAGTGTATATGTATGTATGTGCATATATAAGTGTGTGTTTCAGGCTCATGAAATTTCCACTTTAAGATCTTGACAAACTAATTAAAGCACAAATTAAAGGGAACATGAGTAATCAAAAACAAATAGGGTTTTATATATATATATATATATATATATATATATACACACACACACACACACACACACACACACACACACACAGTGCCCTCCACAATTAATGGCACCCCTTTGAAGTAGGCACCCAAACAAGGTTTCCATGGCCTTCCATGGAGGAAAAGCAGCCCCAACAACATCACAGAACCGCCACCACATTTTACAATTGGGATAACTTTCTTTTCATTATAACCATCTTTCTTTTTACACTAAAGCAACCTTGAATGTTTATTGCCAAAAAGCTCCATTTTTGTTTCATCAGACCATAGAAAATGGTTCAAGTCAAAGTAGTGTTCCAGGCACTTACGTTTGTGGTCAACTTACAGAAAAGGCTTCTTTCTGGCATACCTTCCCAATAATCTGAATGAAGGTGGCATCAGATTGTGGTTTTGGAGACGTGGTAACCCCAAGATTTTACTTTGTCTTGTAATTCACCAACAGTGATCCTCAGGGATTTTATTGCCTCTCTTACCATCCTCCTCACTGTATCTGGAGGCAAAATAAGCTTGTGTCCTCTTCCAGGAAGCTTTGTAACAGTTCCACTTTCTATTTGCCCCATCAGTAATAATGGGCATTTTCAGATGAATAGCTACTTCTTATACCCATTACCCATGTGTTTGTCTTTGATTACATTTATTTAAATGAAAGACTGGATTTTTCTAATTTTTCCAGTGTGAGATGAAGCTACTGTACTTCACCAAAAGATTTTTTCTAACCCTTTTTACAAATTTTTACAAGGGGTGCCAATAATTGTCGAGGACACTGTGTGTGTGTATTTACAGTATATATATATATATATATATATTATATTATATAAATTAGAAAAATTATATAAATGCAAAGATACATGCACACTCACACATATATTTCAGGCTCATTAAATTTCCACTTTGACAATTGCCAAATATTTCCAATATATCACACCTACCGCAGACTTCATATAACAAACCTGTAAATTACATTTCTGTGGTTTCTGTAGGAGAGCAATATAATTAGATGGATGCTTTCTTGAAATTGGTCATGCTTATTTTAAGGTATATTCTGCAACTTACTCTCTCTCCTGGCTGTTGGGGAAGCTGAAAAACAGACATTTGTCCTATCTCTCCTGCTTCTTCTGCTTGATGTTGAATGGAGCTTTATCTTCCTTGAAATACTTCAAAAAAAGGCTGGATCAGTTTGTATTCCTGTTCTTCACACAGTTTAAGTCAGACAGATCATATCACTTCATCTCAAGTATCACCACCACTGTTCCCGCAAAAGCTGTGTTGTGCACGTTGCTTCCACATGTATAATATGGCAAAACAGTCTGTAGGCAAATGAAGGGATGGCTCATGGCCCCACCCTAAAACAGTCCATGGAATTTGCAGGACAGTGAGGAACTCCTTCCTGAAGTGGTCATACCCCGCTCTCCAATCGTCTTGTGTGCCACGTCCCCCTCGTTAACCTCGTATGGAATCCCCGTGTCATCAGCTGTTTCAAGTTGTTTTCATTAGTTTAGTGTATTTAAGTCCAAGTCAGAGTATGTTTCCCTAGTTCTGTCATTGTATTGTTGTGAAGTCATACATCTGTTTTGTGTCCTGCCTTGTCGATCACCATAAATCCCTGCTTCTGCTTCCCTGGACGCTTTGTAACAGAAGCTGGGCTCTCCTGAATTTCTTTGGAAATCATCTACAGTGGCGATCAAAAGAACAGGAGACATTTTTGTAATATACAAAGTCACAGCTTATCCAATTTCAAAGTTATTCTAACATGACTAGAAAAGACATATTTTAATTATATTTCATCAGTGAAGGCTATGCCACATCATAAAACAAATGGTATAAACAAAAAATTCAAAGGCATGGAATCAAAATTAGAGAACAATTTGTTATATTTGACAGTTCTTGGATCTAATCTGAAATATCTTGATATATCTGGCAACTCCAGTCTATTTGGCAACATTTGTAGGCATTTTTGCAAGATGGTGGACCTCTCCAAGGTGCCTGAAACCCTGTCATGTCATCCTAGCCTTAAATTTCCTTCGGGATGAATTATGTACACTATGTTGCCAAAAGTATTGGGACACCTGCCTTTACACACACATGAAATTTAATGACATCCCATTCTTAATACATAGGCTTTAATATGGAGTTGTCCCAGCCTCTGCAGCTACAGTATAATAGCTTCAGCTCTTCTGGGAAAGCTGTCCACAAGTTTTAGGAGTGTGTTTATAGGAATTTTCAACCATTTTTACAGGAAAGCATGTGTTATGGATCTGGACAGGTTTGGTGTGAGAACGAGGCATAGTGCAGGTTGGAACAGAAATGTGGTTGACCCACTTGTGGCTCACCGGAACAGAAGGGTTTTATTTAACAAAACCGAAAACACTACAAACAAAAATAGACCCCAAGGGGTCAGAACTAAGAGGGATAAGAAAACTGACTTCAAAAAGGCGCAGGGCAGGGCAGGGCAGGGCAGGGCAGGGCAGGGCAGGGCAGGGCAGGGCAGGGCAGGGCAGGGCAGGGCAATAACAGAACATCCAAAGTACATACCTCTAACAGCAAAACTACAACAAACAATGAACCACTGGTGAACTCAACTCAGGCTGGAACTTAAATAGGAAAATTGAACTGGGTAATGATACAGCAGGAGTGAGACAAACAATTAACCAATTGGGGAAGGTGGAAGACAACGAGCAATCAGGATAACACACAAGGGCAGGCACAAGAACAGGCAACAGGTGGAACCAATTAATTCAGTGAACTAGGAGGGGAAAACTAAGACTAACAGAAAGGAAACAGAAACTACACTAGGGGAATAACAGGTAGAAACACAAGCATGGGCACATAGAATTTAACCAAAACCAAATACAAATCACAAGACACAGGAACTAGAAAAACTCATACAATGAAATACTAGGGAACAAAATACAAAAACAGAGGTGGGGGATTTCAAACACGCGACAAAAGGATTTGGAGGTAGCCACATGCTCAACACGTTGAGCCATGTGGTTGACAGGGGACAGGGGAAACACAAAGACTGACAGGAGGGACAGGATGGCCAGCGAAGGGACACAAGAGACTGAGACGACAGGAGCTGACCCTGACAAGCATGTGTGAGGCACTGATGTTGGATGAGAAGGCCTGGCTCTAATTCATCCCAAAGGTGTTCTGTCCGGTTGAGGTCAGGGCTCTATGCAGGCCAGTCAAGTTCCTCCACATCAGACTTGCTCATCCATGTCCTTATGGACCTTGCTTTGTGCACTGGTGTGCAGTCATGTTGGAACAGGAAGTATTAATTTCTTGTTTAAATTATTTATTTTGTGATGTGGCATAGTGTTTACTTAGGAAATTTGATTAAAATGCATCTCTTCTATTCATGTTAGAATTAATTTGAATTCAGATTCATATATGTATGTGTGTGTGTTTGTGTAGATTATGTTTATATTACATTGTGAGGACCAGATGCCCCAACAATGTGGAAAAATCTGTTACATTTTAGCTTATCAGGACATTTTTAAGTTCCCCACAACATAAACCTCAATTTTATAAAAAATCAGTGAATGCAATAGAAAACCTAAAAATGCCAAGTCTTATATTTTGTTTGGTTCTTTAATGTTTAAGGTTAGGCCTGGGTATGGGTTAAGGTTGGCATTGTTGGGATTAGAGTTTTTCCCATAGAATTGAATGGAGAGTCCTCACAAAGATATGAATACAAACATTTGTGTGTGTGTGTAGAAGTAAACATGAATTATGTACAGGAATTTGTATTTACTCTGTATATTTGATCATAATTTTTGTATACGAAATACAAAGCATCAAAAAGCACATGATAATGGAAAAATTGAAAAGGACAACTGAGCCTCTAAGCAGTTATTCTGATCAGGGTTACAGAGAGCCAGGCAGCACAGAGCACAAACTTGGGCTGCACGCTGGATGGGATGCCAGTCCTCCGCAGGGCACTTACACACAAATCATCAGACATTACTGGCAATCTAAAGATGCCATTTGGCTTAACTGTGTGTCTTTGGACTACAGGAGGAAATCAGAAACCTACATGACAAAGTGAAAATACACAGACTCAACACAGAGAATGGTGGACATTTGAAGCAACAGAGCTTACCTACTGAGTTAAGGTGCTACTGCTAATTATCTATATTTATACAATTATATAATGAATATATGATTGTATATATACACACTACATCTGCAAAGAATTTCATATGCAAATTCATATGTCTCATTAAATGTGTTCAAATTCTAACTTTCTACATTTTTTTATCAGTTGTGACAGTTTGATGTAAACATAATACCATGCAGTATAACCAGTACATTATTTAATATGTGCCGCCTTTACATTTTTTGTGTGTTTATGCATATAAATAAATGAATATATAAATCCTCAAAATTTTAACATTAGTTTAGATACAAATACACAGTAATATAACAAAAAATTATTTATTCTGTTCTCCAAAAAGCTACTGATACCTTCGCAAACCTCTCTTCGGTCCAACTCCTTCCTTTGCTTCTCCAATCATCAGATTTAAACATGATTGAACTTTTCAGTGAAGCTCTGCACATACTGAAATACGCAGACACCTGCCACAATCAAAGCAGCCCCCATAGTTATCAATAAGATCTGCAAAGAAATTAGAAATTTACTGTAGGTGCCACTGGTGGGTAGTGTCCACAGAAAAACCAAGCGATTCAGGCGGCTATTATGCACGATATCTGGCTCTGCCTCAAGAATGACTGTGTCATAAAAAGTATAAGAAGGGCTGTATGACAGAGAATCCTCAGTTGTGGACTGATGGACCAAGTCCATGGATGATGACATTTGTGGAGTTGCTGAGGTAGTCTTCCAAATACTAATGATAACTATGTCTGTCAATTGGTCACCCTCAACTTGGAAGCTGTGAGATGATGTTTGTACTGAGGGTGAAGTACTAGAGGTTGTACTGCTAATTTTAATGGGAGGGTTTTCGGTGACTTCGCACTGGAGTAATATAGAGTTCATTGAGCCAACTGTTTTCTCCAATAAATATGATGGTATATAGCAGGAAACATGCTCATAATCTTGAACCAAAGTCCGATGGTGACTTATCCATCCTGCAAGGTCAAGAATCCTGCAGTTACAATTCCATGGGTTGTCTTTCAGGGAGACATTCCTTAGGGCAACTACACTGGAAAGAACACTGCTAGGAAGGTTTTTAAAATGGTTCCCATGCAGTTGAACTTCTGAAAGCTTTGTAAGACTGTGAAAAATGTTGTTTGACAGCTGGTGAAGCTTGTTGGAGTGAATAATCAGTGTAGAAAGATTACTCAGGTTAACAAAAAGATCAGGATCCAGAAACTCTAAGTCATTTCTTTGTAAAGAAAGCCTTCTAAGTTTGGGAAGACAACAGAATATATCCTTTGGTAAGTGATGCAGCTTTGGATTATAGTTGAGTGAGAGTTTTTCCAATCCAGACATATTATAAAAAAGATTATTTGGTACAGTGATAAGATTAGTAGAATACAGGATAAATTCCTTAAGTTTTGGCATGTGTCCAATGAGTTGATCTGGTAAGAATACAAGAGGATTTTTAAAGAGATTGAGTGTGGTGATATGAGGTAGAGAGTAAAAGGTTTCTTCTGGGAAATAGTGCAGTTTATTGGAGGATATACTAAGAATTTCAAGATTGGACAGAGGCCAGAACAACTGAGGTGGGATGCAACTGATCCTATTTTTGAAAAGTTTGAGTACACGCAGTTTGGTTTGACTTTTAAAGGTTTCAGAACTGAGAATCTCAAGTTGGTTTTCATAAACAAGAAGGTGCTCTAGATTAATTAAAGAGCTGAACACACCATCCGGTAATTTGCTCAAAAAATTCTTTCCTAGGTTTAGGAACCATAGCTTGGTAAGTTTTTCAAAAATATTTCTATCCAGATGAGTGAGAAAGTTTCTGCTGGCATCCAGCTGAGTTAGATTTGTGAGTGTGTCAAACCATTCTGGCTTTAGAGAATCCAATTTGTTGTTATCAATGTATAATTGTTCAAGACTGGCAAGATTACTGAAAACCTGGCTTGACAGATTAGAGATTTTGTTGAAAGATAACTTCAGGGAAAGAAGCTGAGGCACAGGATAAAATGCTTCTGGGTGGATTACTTGGAGAGGGTTCTGCGTTATACTGAGGCGAAGTACTAGAGGCAGGTTAAGAAGACTTCTTTCAGTTAGGTTTTGTATCCTGGTTTTTTTCAACTCCACATAGTAGGTGTGGAGAGGCATGAACGAAGGTACATTTGTAAAGTTCCCACTGCATCTCACCCTGCCTTCTGCAGTACACTCACAGACATCAGGGCAGCTGGTGCCATAGCTCAGAAACACTCCAAACAAGAACAGGATAGAAGACTTCATGACCCTGTGAATTGAGTCACAATATAGAATTCAGAGACAATAAATAATCTTCAACTTCTCATCCCTCATTTACAGTTACTAAGGAATAAGGAATAAAACATATATTCATGAATTTGGCATGTTGATTTTGACAGTTGATTGTAAGTATATTCAAAGTAGTCCTGGAAAAAAGGTTTAATTTACTCTTCTTAGAAATATGGCACTACATCCTATTTGGTATTTAAAAAGAACATCTTTTGGGCTGTAGATGTAAAAAATACTAAATTCTGCTTTTATTGTCAATTTTTTCCCATATCTTTAAATATTAACCTTTTTGTGGATAATTAATGAAAATATTAAATATCAAATAGAATATCAATATCAGCTGATGTGCACATCCATACTGGCTATCTTACACAGAAAGATGAGTGAAGATGTAGGCAAATTTATATGACTTGGTCTTTTGGTGATTAACTGAAAAATTTAGGAAAGCACTGCATCAACTGGATGAGAAAGGAGCATCTCTGAGATAATCTTTGAAAGCTTTTAAAGATCATGAAACCCAAATTCCATGCTTAGGCTTTACATTTATTACTTATGAAACAGTGGCAGACTTGAAAATATACTTGGTGTACAATTTTAAAATGCATTTTAATAAAAAAATTATCATAAATAATTTCTTTTTAAAACAGTATAACCAACTAACCTGTAATAAGACTTCAAGCTGATGAACCAAAGCTCGATGAAAACTCATGTTTCAAAATTCACGTCCTGTTTTTTATATTGGATGTCTCATAGAGCAAAGGGGTTGTGGGACTTCTGATTCCAATTATCTACTCTTAACCATGTTTTCTTTTGTCTGGTGTGTGTTTGATAAATGACTGTTGCAATTTTGTTGATTATCACATCAGACCATAAGTTGAAAAGCTCCCTTCATATCTAAAAGACACCAGGGACTTCAAAACCCTCCTCTCTGTAGTTAGTCTTTATACCAATATCCCACATTCATCCAGGCTCTGTGCTTTAAAGATTTTTTAATACAAGGTCAGAGAACAATCCTCCAACTAACTTACTGGTTGATATGTCTGACACTGTATTGACAACAAACTATTTCCTTTATGGCAAAGATTTTTATCTCCAGATACCTGGTACTGCTATGGGCACAAGCTTCACCCTTGACTATGCAAATCTCTTAATGGGTTGATTTGAACACCAATATGTGTAGCATAATAATACACTTTTGCAATTCATTGTGTTTTGGAAAATACTTATTTCTAATTGGAATGGTTCCAACTGGCTTTTTCACAGTATCTCAACAATTGTATTGATTCAATTTAATTCAATATGGAATGTAATAATCACCAAGTGAGTTTTTTTGGACACATGGATAATCTTTAATGGGATAGGCATGTATACCTAGGACTTTGTCAAGTTATCAGATAGAAATATTCTTGTACATTATTCAACCTATCACTCTATACCCCTCATGGATGATGATTTTCAAAACATTCTCTTGTGTATGTTATACTACCTGTTCACTAGTTGGGTGCTTTGGTAATGTTATGTTGGTAAGGAGAGCTTTAACTCTCTTCCACTTTTCTCCTTTTCTAGAGCTAAGAATATTTGGGACATACTAATACATGCAGGCACATATACAACCTCCATCCACCAGAGACACTTGAACAATGTTACAGATTTCTTTCCTTGCTGAAATCATGCTTCTCACCAACTGGTTTTAACTGCAAAAAGGTCAACACATTTACTAGCAAAAAAAGACTTACAACATGCAGCTCTAGTAATGTTGTTTACATTCTTGCATGTAACAAATGTGGCATCCAATATGTTGGAAAAATAAGGAGACAACTTAGATTTAGAACTAATGAACATAAAAGTGCTATCCAATGAGCTGATCCATAATCAGCTGTTGCAAGATACTGGCAATCATTCCATTTAAGACTTTGCATTCTGAGTTATTGACATGATGATCCCTATTTGCTGTGGTGGAATTATGGGGCAAAGATAACTCCAAAATTAATGCAGAACCAATTTCTGAATAATTTAAGGATGATGAAAAATTGAATGTCCTATATACTGCTTACAGGTGAATCATTACCTCTAAAAAGTATCTTGGAGCAGTATTTTATGCATATATCAGCTGTTACTCAGTAACATAAAAATGGCAGCTCACTTGCTCAGCTTCTCAGTGGCACCTCTGGCCCTCACACCAAGGGGGCTGCTGTCTGCCTGAGTGAGATAAAGCACTATCTGAATGGCTGACTATTGTCTGGGAAGGAAGTGTCACTTTGAAAATACGTGAGGCGACCACATTAAAAAAAAATGAATTTGAGGTCTGTTCAAATTAACCATCTAAATTTAATTGAGATTAATTAAAAAACATAAGTTGGTGTGTTGTAAATAAATACTTTATGACAGTTGAACATAAATCTGTGGAAATTTGTTTAAACACAATAATTTTATGTTGGTTTTAAATAATCAAGTTGATTAATAAAAAATTGTTTTTCTACTACGCATGCGCATCCCTAACCGGATTTGTGAGATTTTACAGCGAAAGCAGGTGGCATTTTCATTTTTAGGCGGATTTCGCGGTTGACTGGAGTGAGCGAATGTAAGTACCCAAATCGTTAATTATATATCAGTATTTATGTTTCCTTTACTCATTAAGCTGTTTTAACAGTTAGCTTATTTGCTAGAATTTGATGCACATTAATTTTCTAACTTGCTAACAGTCGCTAGCAGGCTAACGATGCCTTGGATTCGAAAATACAACCAATATTTTCTTTCATAATTTTTATTTCTTTAATTCATATTATTATTGATTTATTTTAGTGCATAAATTACAAAGAAACGTCTGATGAGCTGAATGTCTGTCTTTCTTGTATTCATTCGCGTAACGTCAGCTGTACATAATGTAAGCAATCGGATAGTCGACAAAAGAATGCTCATTACAACCATTAGACTTGTCTTGGTCTTTAGATAGGTTGACAATAGATAGGATACATGATTCTAAACATCAACAAATGCTAAATCAAATGAATAAAAACAAATAAAACAAATGCTCATTTAACCTTTTGAAATGGCAAAAACCTTTTCTTACTGGAGGCATGAAGTTGTCAAAGAGACACCGCCTATTGCAGAGTTCAAAGCCAGATGGCCAGCTCTCTTTTGTGTTGACGAGGTAAGTCAGCTTTTCTCAATCCCCATCCAGGGGCCTGTTTCACAAAACAGGATTTCTTGCTTAGCCAGATAACTTGCCAGATGTAAGGTAGTCTGGGCTAAATAGACCTTATTTTCATCAACTTACATTTAGTCCAGACTACCTTAAATCTGGCAAGTTATCTGGCTAAGCAAGTAATCCTGCTTTGTGAAACAGGCCCCAGGAATATCCCCTGGACTGCATGTTTTAGTGATCTTGATAAACACACTGGATTCAGCCCATCTAATGAACAAGACCCTCATGAGTAAAAGGGTGTGTAGAGACCTCAAGTGTGCAGTGCAGGGGTACTACAAGACAAAAATTAGAAACATTTTACTGTATTTTTTACTTACATTTTTAAACCCTTTAGTTAGAGATGCACTAATACAAGTTGAGGGTTTTGGTCTGATTACATGCTCATGAGCTGGTAATTGTACTCAACCCAAATTTCTTATAACTGCTACAGTGGTAGCTATGATGTAGTTGTGTTCATTTGGCATGTGGAGATATGGATACAATTACAATTAGAGGGCTAGAGTTAGGATGATTGTAGGGACTCAGAACCACAGATTTATTTACTATTGTTACTTGTTATAAGTGCATACTTGCAGTCCTCTGTAGTTGTACTTGCTCTCAAAAAAACTGGTTTTGGTGCATCTCTACCTTTAGGGCAGTAATGTCTAATTTTCTTTTACCTTATTGTGTTAATTCTACAGATCAATGCAGATTACGACTGTCCCACTGCAGTCAAGTTTCTTTGCAGGTCTTGACAAAGCAAGAGACAAATTGATGACAATTTTTGGGAGCAAGAGTTTGTGGAAGAAAAATAAAAAGGGTAATGGAGGGCTTATCTCAGGTTAGTAGCAATTACACCTTGTTGATTCTTCAACTGAAATTATTTTTATAGGATCATAGAAAGTGGTTTACACAAATTCCTAGTATTATTTTTTTCTTTTTGGTTGACTCAAGAGAGTAGTAGTTCACATGTTTTAATACACGGTATATAAAAAGCAATATTGTCTTGATTTATAGAACAACTCAATAGATGTTCAAAGGGAATGTATCCTCAAGGCCTTATGCATGTACTTCAGCGAAGACCACCAAGAGCTTGTAAAAGAATACATTGTAAATTTAATAATTTTACCGAATTTCTATGTGTGATTAATTTGTGCATACATTATATTGTGTGTAAATGTTCAAGTATGCTTTGAGGTGTTAAATATTTAGATAAAATAAATTGGACACAATGTAGAATATTGTCTTCTTAAAGTACTTTTTGCTGTGTCTCAAAATCAAATGAAGTGAGTGTAATGGGATTATGAATGAATCCATAACATTTTAGATGCCTTTTCTTCTTTTGCAAATTCTTCTTTTACTTGATTTTAGTATTCAGAATGTAGGCCTGTTCACTGTCAACAACTGCAACATTTTAATAACATTTAGGGTCTGTTTTTAAATCTTAAATTAATTTGTTTGTGTACTTTTTGCCAGGACTTGAAAGAGGCTGAGAAGAACATGGGGCAGACATTGATGGCAGTGTACACAGTCAGGAGGGAGGGTGCCGAAGCTACCGATGAACCTTCACATGTAGGCATTGTAATTGAAGGGGTTGAAAATGTGGCTCTAGGCTGTGCCATGTTCTTTGGACTTATATATGCCCTTAACCTCAGCTTTCCAGACAAACTAAAATGCACCTTTGAATTCATACAGAAGACTGTCATGAATCTGAGTGGACAAAGGCTGTCCCCTAAAGTGTTGGCCCTGAAAAACAAATTAGTTCAGGAATAGATATTGCACTTGTGCACCTTTTCAATAATTCATATGCTGAATATGATTGTATGTAGATTTTTTTTTGTGGCTTCAGCCTTAGTGTTTGACTAAGTTATCTTGGAATTTGCAGTTTTGCCATTCCTTACTAAACAGTAATAATTGTAACTTGCACTTCTTTTTGTAAGTTCATGTTTTTGAGGAT